AAATCCTAACCCTAAATAAAGCATAGGGAAGGAGGGCCACCCAGTCCTCGCCAGTCTCCAAGGCTAATTTAGTGAGGGTCTCTTCTAGCATTCAATGCATCTGTTCAACGTATCCTGAACTCTGGGGTCTGTATGCACAATGTAATTTCCATTTGGCTCCCAGTGCAGTGGCTATTCCCTGACTTACCTAAGAGATTAATACAGGTCCATTATCTGACCCTATCACGTGTGGAACACCAAACCTGGGAAGAACTTATTCTAGAATCTTCTGGCTACAGTGTATGTAGTCTCACGTTTAGACAGAAATGCCTCTGTCCATCCTGAGAAAGTATCTACAAACACTAGCAAGTATTTATATCTGTATTTGCCCAGTTTGACTTCAGTGAAGTCTGTTTCCCAATATATTTTAGGGCGTGTTTCTCTTGCTAGGTACCTTTTTCTCCTTTTGTTTGGTAAGCATTTACCAATTGACATGCCTGGGATTTTTTAATAATAAGAATAATTTGGTCAATTAGCTGACTGGCATGCCTAATCTTTAAGGGTGACCTTGGAGTAAATCCTTAAGTTTGTTAGCCCCCATGTGGATAGAGCAGAGGAGTCAATACAATAAATACTGTCCCATGAATTGTGGGAGAAGAATTTTCCCAATAAGAAGGTACCACTAGTCGTTTTCTTTTTGAGCCCCTTCAACTTGTGTGTCCCAGGCAGGTTCCTCTTGCTTGTAACAAGAGGGTGGGGGGAAGAGAGCATGGCCCCGGGTGTGTCTGGGCTGATAGGGTGTGGTATGGTTTACTTACTGACACTTCCTTAGCTGTCCTGCCTGCCAGATTGTTTCCTGGGGTGGCCAAGTAGTTTCCCTTTTCATGGCCAGACAATGCAGCACAGCCAATTTTGGGGGGAGCCATAGGGCCTGCAACAGGCTTAGGATTTCCTGTTTATATTTGATAGTCTTTCCTTCTGCCGTCAGCAAGCCTCTCTCCGTGGATATATAAGGTAGCAAAAGCTTAGCTGCTATCTCCGTAAATGTTAATTCTTTTGTCCTTTCCCAAGTCCAAGGTCTTTACCAGGGCTTTTAGCTTGGCCCTCTGGGCTGATGTGTCAGGGGGCAGTGTTTCTGCAAAAATCACCTCAATGTAAGGATCTGGTCAGGATGAACGGCACGGGGCAGGAGACCATCCGTGCCACTCTATCCATAGTCTCCAGTCCTCCCTCCTCTCTCCCTGCTCCCACCCCCCTGCCATCGAACATTGAGCAAGGGCCAGTCGACTGAGCAGTAGGTGACCCATTTGAGCTTCTGGACCAATACTCTATTGTTGTTGTTTGTATCCTTAAGGTCCTGCCAGTGAGCAAGAGTTAGATCCAGAGGGGTGGAAGGGTTTTTTTCCATAGTAGTAGAGGGAGAAGTGGAACGGCTTAGAATGAAAAGAGCAACAAAGACACAGACCCTGATCAAAGCAAACAAGGAACAAATCCACACCTTGACAATGTCCAGGGAAAAAGAACAAGATACTTCCTCTCTTGGCAAGTGAAGAACCCCAAAAATAGTCCTGACTGGGAACTGGACTTCCACAAAGATATTTCTGATCGCTCCCTGCCAGAGTCGGCTGAAACCTGACTTCAGCTATCTCAAGGCTTGCAGCAGCCAGTCTCACAGGCTACAACCTCCAATTGATGGAGACTTCTCTCGACCCCTCCAGTATCACTTGGCAGGACGCTTCTGTCCCAATGAGGGCCTGGTTAACACTTGGTCTGCTCTCACCCAGAGAGCCCAAGTCTGTTCGCTCTAGCTTTCTCTCTCTCTCTCTCTCTTTCTCTCTCTCTCACTCACTCTTTTTCTCTCTCTCTCAGAGTTGCTCTCCCCAGGAGAGCCTTTCCTTCCCTCTGCTGAAGAGCTTAGAGGAGCATATATATCAGACAATCAGACATACATACACACCTTACCGGTATTAGAACAAACCTCTAGACCTTGGTTTTCCCGGCGGGGGGCTCCACAGTTCCTGACAAATGCACTAAATGTTGTGTCCAAGTCGCAACCCCCAGAGAGACCATCAGTATCCAGTCAAGTCCAGAATAAAAAAGCAAGGTTTATTCGGAGTTCTATTCCTGCAAGCTGGGGTCTCCTCCTCTAATGGTAACAGAGCGATAGGGAGGAGAGTCCCCTTTATCATTTGGGGTTGACATTATATAGGCAAAAACCACAAACCAGGTTCATTTTGGGTCAAATGAGTTAGTCTTGGGTAACAGCAGGTGTGCCTTATCTCTAACAAGCCCATTCCCTCTAGAACCCTACCAAAATTAGAGTCCTACCCTAATTTCTGCTCCCTGATGGACCACAGAGCTAGGAGTTAACAGGTGGCCTGCTGCCAGGATGCAGGAGCACTTTGTGGTGAGCTCGGCGCCCTAGCTAAAAAGCCCTCGATGTCTTGCATTTAAACACAGTGCCCTAATTAGCTATTAAGCAAGCAAAAATTTCCTTAAAATTTTTCAGGCCCTTACAGTAACTCAATATCCAATGTCTAGAATCCACGCACAATCTTCTGATCTGCTCTAAAAGAGATTAGGTCCTTTCTCTGGCTTCACCCTCTGCAGCACTGACTTGGGCTGACTCCACCACACTGCTGCTGCTGTCCTTGCTGGTAATCCCATGGTACTGGCATCTCCAAAATGATGGAGTCCCTTGATACAATGAGGCTATCACCAAAAGCCACTCCAGGGCTCGCTTCGTGGAGCAAACCAGGCTTCCACTTCTCTCCATGAGCCCTTCTGTCCTGGGACTTCCACTAATACTGAGGCTGCTTCTTCTCCAATGCCCTATCAGGGCCTCTCACAGTGCCAAACCACAGCTGTTCTCCATGACCCCTTTATGCTTTCAAACCACCTGAGAGACTCTTATATGTCACTTAGGCTTCTAGTAAGATATAAAACTTTGATGGACACTAGAACACAGTTTCTATTCACCGACTTGAGGAAACCCTTCACATAAGTGTTTTTGCCTAAGTGATGTTGGCCTCTTCTTTTTTTGTTTGTTTGTTTTTTGAGCCTCTTCTTTTTTTTTAATTAATTTATTTATTTGTTAAAGATTTCTGCCTCCTCCCCGCCACCGCCTCCCATTTTCCTCCCCCACACCCAATCAAGTCCCTCTCCCTCATCAGCCCGAAGAGCAATCAGGGTTCCCTGCCCTGTGCGAAGTCCAAGGACCACCCACCTCCTTCCAGGTGAGCATCCAAAATGCCTAGGCTCCCACAAAGCCATTACATGCAGTAGGATCAAAATCCAGTGCCATTGTTCTTGAGTTATCAGTAGTCCTCATTGTCCACTATGTTCAGCGAGTCCGATTTTAGCCCATGCTTTTTCAGACCCAGGCCAGCTGGCCTTGGTGAGTTCCCGATAGAACATCCCCATTGTCTCAGTGTGTGGGTGCACCCCTCACGGTCCTGAGTTCCTTGTTCGTGCTTTCTCTCCTCCTACTCCTGATTTGGACCTTGGGATTTCAGTCCAGTGCTCCAAAGTTAGTCTCTGTCTCCTTTCATAGCCTGATGAAGGTTACTATCATACAATAGAAGTATATGCTCAACTATGTTCATAGCAGCATTGTTTGTAATAGCCAAAACCTGAAAACAACCTAGATGTCCTTCAATGGAAGAATGGATGAAGAAAGTATGGACTATATACATATTAGAGTACCACTCAGCAGTAAAAGACAATGACTTCTTGAATTTTGCATGCAAATGGACAGAAATAGAAAACACTATCCTGAGTGAGGTAAGCCAGACCCAAAAAGAGGAATATGGGATGTACTCACTCATAATTGGTTTCTAGCCATAAATAAAGGACATTGAGCCTATAATTCATGATCCCAGAGAAGCTAAATAAGAAGGTGAACCCAAACAAAAACATATAATCATCCTCTTGGCCTCTTCTTAATCAGTGCTAATTTCTTAGCTCCAGTTGTCCCAATAAAGCAAAGACTTACGTCACTGTCTCTGTTCTTGTGAATTACAGCTAATTCTTCAGTCCCAGCTCACCATACTCAGATCTCATCTTTGGTCTTGAAGTGAATCACAAACTCCCTCTGGAACTTCATAAGTTAGGCCTCCACTGTTTGCTTTACTCTCAACATTCTTATCTTCCACGCTACCAAAGAAAACATCATCAAGTTTTGAACTCGTAATGGATTTCTAGACCAAAGTTCCAAGGTCTTTTCACACTCTTTCTCAAAACAACATGGCAGATCTCTCACTGTAGCCCATGATCCTCTTACCACGTTATTTTAAGGTTTCTATTTCTGTGATGAAACACCTTAAACAAAAAATAAGCTGGAAAGGAACGGGTTTATTTGGCTTACACTTCCATATCTCTGTTTGCCATCAAAGGAATCCAGGACTAGAACACAAACAGGGCAGGGAAATTGGAAACAGTTGTTGATGAAGAGACCATGGATACCGCTTACTGGTTGCTCCCCATGTCTTGCTCCACCTGCTTCCTTTTAGACCCCAAGACCACCATCCCAAGGCAGGCACCATGCATAAGGGGCTACTCCCTCCCCATCAATCACTAATTTACACAATGTTGTACAGCGTGCCTGCAGCTCACTCTTAGGAAGGAAATTTTCTTTTTTGGAGGTTCCCTCCTCTCAAATGACTATGACTTTGTCAGTTTGATACAATAACAAGGTGATAAACAGGGGTCAAGAGAAAATAAACTCTAATGGGTCATGGAATAACTTCTAACCTTATCAGTATTCTGTGCCTGGAGCTCCTCACACTGGCTAAACCTTAGGTAAAATGCTCCTTTGTTATTACGGAGATTTCTACTTCCTTCAATTGTGGAATCAATGAGAAAAAAATAAAAGCTAGTTTAGTTTCATTTTCCTGTTCTTAAAATGCAGGAAATTCAGAAAAAAAAAAAACTGGACCCACTCTCCTATGTGATTGGCTAGCACACTCTGAAGGTGGGACAAAAGTCAAGACAAAGGAGCTACCCAACTTTCTTGTTTCTGCTGCAAACACTCCAGCACAGCTGAGGGTTGTTCCTGTCCTGAGCAGTGAGAGCATCCCCTGGACACAGGATTTTCTGGTAACTAGGAATTCAGATCTGACTTCTCACCCTCCTCTGTCTCTTCCTAGGGAGCCTGTGAGTAACAAGACATTTAGAGAGGAATCCTCAGAGCTGGGATTCTCAGTTTGGAAGCTAGGGGTCTTTGATTAGAGGCAGGCAGGACTGAATTAAGATGTTCTTAGGTAATTATTCAAGTTTAGATAGACCTAAAGCAAATAACCAAGTTATTTAAAATTTACCCAGTTGTTTTAGGTTTGGATTTTGTTTGTTTGTTAGATGAAAATGAGCCTTTTGGTATATATGTGTTGTGAATTATAACTATAGAATATATGAAAATTGTGGTATCAATCTTGTTACTGCCCAGTATTTTTTTCTGTCCCTTTCTACCAAGTTCAGCATATTTGTTTTACACAACAGTGGAAGCTAGACTTGGGTGAAGGATGCCCTCTGTAAGATGCTTCTGCTTACTTGCTGGGGAACAATTCTAGGATAGTTTTTGTTTGAAAAATATTTGTATTTGCTGTACAATGAATTCATGCATCTCTGGAGCATTTTTATCATCTTCACCCACTATTCCTCTCTCTTTTCCATTCTCATTCTCTCTGGGATCCTTCCTCTTTCCATTGTTGTCCCTATGTTTTTCTTGTCTTTTTTTTTTTTAATACTCCACTGATTTTAATCAGGATCATTTCCCTGTTCTGTTGTAAGGTTATTTACTTGATCATGTGCTACTTTCTAGTGGTCTATATCTGAAGAAAAATGACTCTCTCTCCCCCTACAATTCTCTAATCCTAACATAAGGATAAGGCTTCATGTGCCCCTGATCTCATTCATGCTGAAGTGAGAACAAGATAAATCTTATGTGTGTCTCCTGTAGGTAACCCCAGATGCCATGTCATATTTAGAAGACATTATTTTATGTCACTCCCCCATCTCCAGCCTCTGGCTCTTCTGCGATATTTTCTGAACTTGGTGAGGGTAGGAGATTGATAAAGATGTCACTGTTTTATCTAAGAATGAACACTCAACCATTACATATTCTCACCAGGTTTGACCAGTTAGGAGACTGTGCATTAAAATACTACTCAATGCAAAAAATGGGAAATGAGCAAAAACAACAAAACGCTTGTCTGTGCAAGGCCGAGAGCATCACTAATCTCTGGTATAGTCCAAAATATTTAGAAGGAAATCTTCCCATTTAGAGAAACAGCAGCAGTAGATGCTGAGGGACATTTTTAATGAGGGAATCCTCTTTAACTTCTTGGTTTTGATTGTGAAGTTGGTGTGTTAGTGAAGAAATGCATCCTTTGGTACTGATTAATATTTCACGGCACAATCTTTTGTTGTGGTCATGCTTTGTGCAAGACATTTAATGCAAATTTTTCTTGTTTAATTTCTTTTTCTTGTTCGGTAGTTTTGGAGAATTTTGTATAATGCATTTTATTTGTTTTTTTATAACATTTATGTATTCGTTCTCTGTGCCCTCATAAACCAGGGATAGGTGCTCACATGCTAGAGTATGCTTGTGGAGGTCAAAAGACAAGGTGTGAAAGTCAGTTCTGTCTGCTATGTGAGTCTTGGGATTAGAACTCAGATCATGTGTCACAGAAACAAGTACTCTTTCTTATCAGTCATTTAGTTGGCCCGAGACAGTTTTAGAGTGTGCATACATAGATTAAGGCATGGGGACCAAAAGGATGGGAGGCTTTTGTAATAGATCCCAGCAACTTTTGTCTTAGGAACTTTCCCCCAGGCTAATGCAAAGGATCTAGGCTCATGGTTGCCCTGATAGATTCAACTGCTTTCATGTTCATCTGGGTCCTGTCAGCTTTTGTAATTGGTCAAATTTATTACCAAATAGTTAATTTCAGTCACTACCAGAATAGCTTAAATCTGATACCCCACCTTACCACCCATTGCACCCACCCCTCACTGCCTCCATTAGGTTTAGTGAGGCTGCCTGAGAGTTGAACCTGAGTGTCTGTCCAGCTTGAGAGACAGTAACAAAACTCAGAGGGGCCCTGGCTTTATAATAGGACTTGCCTAGCCAGCAGGCCAGGAGTTGAGTGGCACCCCGCCACCCCGTAGAGTCATCATTTTTCTGAGTGTGGGGAAGAGGGTCTGGCTCTGTGGCTGTTGTGGACCATGCTCTGCTCTGCTGCTGGCGGTGCTGGGGCTGAGGGCCTGGCCCTGCCAGCAGTCAGGCCGTCAGCAGGAAACAGGAACAGTTACCGCCTTAAGGAAACATAAAGTTTAGAAATTTATACAAAAAATGTGCATACCAATTTAGGTATTGAAACATCTAATCCCATAAATGTGTATAAAAATATATTATGTACTAGCCATGAACTGCTACGGACTCGATGTTTTGTGAATTATGACAACATTTTTCTTATGGCTCTGATGAATATTATTTTGGTTAAAGTCTACTTTTGTAAATTTACCAAAACAAAATCAGTATCTTAAGAGAACTTTGTTGATATAAATAAGATTAATTTTAGATTTGTATCAGTTTAGTGAGGTTTACCTTTAGGAATTTTAATAGCCTTTAACTGTAGCTGACTCAGTCATACCCATATACTTTTTTTTTTAAATCTTCACCCATACTCTGCATGAAAACGAAACCAATTAAAACTCCTTTTTTTCATCATTTCAAAAAATATATATAAGCATATGTATAACCTTTTAAATATTTTTCTCCTACTTCTTGAATGATGCTTTACTTTTTTAATATCGTGAAACATGATGTTATAAATAAGCAATTTTCAATTTAGTTTCAATTTAGCTTAATCCCCCAATACAAAGCAATTTGGTGCCATGGAAGCAGTATATGAGCATAAGCATGGATGTAGATATAACACAATATATACATACATAAAATCTATATCAAATACATTTTAACTCAGTCAAGGATTATTTGTGAAATTTATCCTGCACGTTATTTTTAACATCTTCTGATCTGATTATATTTTTCATATCTCTAAGTGAGCTTCAATCTTAAATCTGTTCTTTAAAAGTATTAATTTTCTGTTGAAGTAAATTAGAAAACTTCTGTCTCAGTTTATAGTTCCTTAAACAGAATGACTAAACAGAATGTTGGTGAAGGTGGAAAACAGTCAACATGAAAACTACTATTTTACTGAGCTGAAATTTTGACTTGGATACTTACAGAACTAAGTTGTAAAATCACACATCTGGAAGTTTCTGTAACATGGAAAGCACAAATGCTCTAATCAATAAAACAAACACAGATCCCAATCTTTGCCCCCTGAGACACAGGTCTATAGGATGAGAAACTCCATGTTTATACTTTGGGAAAATCTGGAATTCTAGAAGTACACTGGAGAAGATTGTTGTTTGAGTAGGAGATTTGTTAAAAGGGTTGTGAATGCCATAGACAGACAGGCACACAGCATTATGGAAAAGACTCTGAGATCAGTCCCATGTAGCAGAACAGGGAATCCTTTCTTACGGATCTCTGCCATGTGATTGATAAGAAGCCTATAATGGATGCTTGCAGTCAAGGACTCTATGGAACACAAGCAAGAATCCTAAGAAAAAAGTGGTTTTAGTCATAGAAACCAAAGTAGTATCATTTCTGATATGATCACCAACCAAAATGGGATTGCTTTACAAAAAGAGGTGCCCCTGGTTAGCACTTTAGATATCTAGAATTTAGGCCCAGGGCTTCTTCAAATTTTCTAAGACCTCTTTTGAAGTGTTGGCACAGGGGTCCTACAACACTGGCCAGATTAGAAAAACATCTGAAGAATCAGAAAGGCCACAATGCTTTTTCAGGACCATCAGGGTATGCAAGAGCTGAAATCCAGGTCCCTGAGATGTCTCCCTTCCCGTCTTTATCTCTGGCAATGGAGAAGGGTCCTTGCTGAGACAGGCCACTTTAGTTTAACTAACAATAGAAATTCATTGCATTTAATCCACATCTTAGTGCACACAGGGCAAAAATAAACAAGCAAAATATAACGGATTTGGTAAATACTTATTACCTAAGTTAGGCAAAGCAGGCACATAGCTATTTCCAAAGTGATGCTTTCACTCACAACACAGCAAAAAGAGCATAGCAATTTTATTCATGGGGTCCATATATATTCATATAGGTGTAGGCCAGCTTTAAAGCATATTCTTTTTAAAATTACATTCCCTCAGCATGCTAATTTTAAAGTGATGGACAGAAATGCCTCTCAGAATCCCCAGCTTCCACAATAATATTTTAGCTGACAATAAAGAAAATGATAGTTTGAAGGAACTGAATGCAAGAAGAAATCTGTCCATGAAGGTACCTGCATTGCTTAGTCAATAACAGCACATGTTCTTGTCCTATCTGAGCATCCACACATGGAGGCTAATCTCACCTGGCTGTACAGCATTCAGAGTACCCAAATATTTTTATAGGAAGGCCAGTAGCTTTACCTGTTTTTCATCTCATGATATCTTCTTGTGTCCAGATTTTCCATGAATCAAGGAATAGAGAGAGTCTAGTGGAACCTGAAGGTTGATAGCCCTCTTTGCTCATGGCCTCTGCTTCCTGGTTTCCAGGACTCTGTGGGCTATGGAATGATGCATGAAAATCTGCCAGGAGATCTCAGTGCTATAGAACTGAGTTATACATGTCCATCTACTGTTGTTCCTACAGTAACTGACTTAGTGCCTGCCAGACCCCCCTTTCCCGAAGGGCCATCTATAATGTCAAGCTTATAAAAATAACCCAAGAGCCAATAAAGATCTGGAAATTCAGGTTTCAGGAGTTGCTGTTATCTATATCAACTCAGCCTCCTGACTGCTCTTTCTCCTGTCTCCTGCACATGGTGTCCGTGTTCATTTGTAATGCAGCAGGTGCCCTGCTTATAGCATCTGTGTACCACGCATTCATTGGGATGGATGAAGTCCCGAATAGGACTTTATCTGGCTTGGCTTCTTATTCAATTATTCAATGAGGCCAAGTTTCTTCTAAAGAATTTGGTTCTAGGACAAATCAATGTGGCATTGGTGACTGGACTGGCCAACACTACACCCCATACAAATATGCACTATATTTTTCAAAGTATCTCAGTTCACCTTGGAAAGATATTGTGCATTGGCCTTCAATCCAACTTTTTTTGGAAGTGTGTTATATATTAGAGATCAGGAAGGTTTCATGAATAGATCTTAAAAACAAGAGACTTTGCACTTGGGAGGCAGAGGCAGGCAGATCTCTGTGAGTTCGAGGCTAGCCTGGTCTACAAGAGCTAGTGCCAGGACAGGAACCAAAGCAACAGAGAAACCCTGTCTCAAAAAACTAAAAAAAAGAAAAAAAAGAAACTGAGAAAATAAACAAGCCGAGCAGATAAATAAGGGACTGCATGACAACCAGAGGCTTGAAAGTGTGAGGAACATTAACCAGATCTAAGAAGACAAATAAGAAAAAATATTTTTGTTAAACATACCATGATGACTGAAAAGGTCACAAAGAGCATATAGGATAAATGATAATGAGTGATAGAAGCAGGTACAATCAGGCATGCAAATCTACAAGGAGGACATGAAAATACAGCTGATTTATCCTGGAATCTAGAATGTGAGGGGCGTCTGGTGATAAAGTCTACATGACACAGAGGCACAGAGCAGACTGAATGTTAAGATGGATCTGCAAAGACACAATGGAGACTAAAACATTAAAGTCTCATGTGATGGTCTCAGATCCTGCAGAAAGAATGGCCCTACTGTGTCACTTATTGGTGAACTCCAGAGAAGCCAAACTCATAAAGGTGGAAGGCAGGGTGATGGGCAAAGCTGTGGGAGAGGGAAATGTTAGTCAAAGGACACAAAGTCTCAGATGTGTAAAATGAACACAGTGGGAGATCGGATGTAGTACTGCAATCATCAAGGATGGTATGTGGCAATATACATGAAATTTGATAAAATATAGATCCCAAATTTCATAAACATCCTCCTGACTCTTCCTTCTTTCCTTCAGTGCATTAGTTGCTCACAGTCATGGGCCAGCGGTTCTCTTCATCTAGGAATGAGCGCCACCAAGATTTGGCCTCCACCTTTAACGAATATTTTAAGAAGTTTAAAGTAGAAAACAAAATCATTCCTCAAGAAATCTTAGCTTCAATTGAGTTAAACTTGTCAAAAGGAAACATTCAGGTGGCAAACTCTTCGATCACTAATGCATTAAAAGAAATTGATAGCACCCCACTCAATGTTGCTGTGACAGGAGAGTCTGGAGCAGGGAAGTCCAGCTTCATCAATGTCCTGAGGGGGATTGGGCATGAAGATAAAGATGCAGCTAAAATAGGTGTGGTGGAAACAACCATGGAGAGGCATCCCTACACACACCCCAATATTCCCAATGTGGTTTTTTGGGACCTGCCTGGGATTGGAACCACAAATTTCCCACCCAAAGATTATCTGGAGAAAATGAAATTCAACGAGTATGATTTCTTCATCATTCTTTCTGCCACACGCTTTAAGAAAAATGATATAGACCTCGCCAAAGCAATCCGCATGATGAAGAAGGATTTCTACTTCGTGAGAACCAAGGTGGACTCTGACTTGAAAAATGAGAAGAAATTCAAACCACGAACCTTTGACAGAGAAAAGGTCCTGGAGCAGATCCGCAGCAGCTGTGTGAGGACCTTTCAGGAGAATAACATTGAGAAACCACCCATCTTCTTGATCTCTAATAAAATCTTATCTGACTATGATTTCCAAATCCTGGTGGACAAGGTGGTGAATACTCTCCCTGTATACAAACGTCACAATTTTATGCTCTCCTTGCCAAGTATTACAGATGCGGCCATTGAAAGGAAGCGGCAGTTCCTGGAGCAGAGCATTTGGCTCAAAGCCTTTGCGACTGGCCTACTCAATATGATCCCTTCACTGACCCTCTTAATGGTCAATGATGTGGGGGATCTTAAGTACAGCATGAACCTCTATCGAGCTGTCTTTGGAGTGGATGATGCATCCTTGCAGGGTTTGGCTGAGGACTGGCAAGTGTCAGTGGATCAGCTCAAGGCAAAGATGAAATCTCCTCATGTGTTTGAAACTACAAAGGAAGAAACAATACAAGAAAGACTTTCAAGACTTTATGAAGAGTTTCGTTTGGCTAAGGGGGATGTATTTGCTAAGAATGTTTATGTTAAAGAATTGTTTTACCTAAAATATTATTTCCTTGATATAGTGACAGATGATGCTAATGCTCTTCTCAGAGAGATATGTGTAAAAAATAACTTGGTTTCTGATTTGGCTGAAATCTTGTAGCTGTCAAAAATCAGAATCAATGACAAAAAAACTGGACACTGATGTTACAAAACAACATACTGGGTTATTCAGACCATGCAGCGTTTATCCATACTTAGTGATCATATATCCACATTAGCTGCAGCAAGGGGATCAGATGTGTGTAAATAATCTGAGTGCTAAAACTATCTACTCACTTTGAATAAACCCTCAGATCTAGTCATTGCACTTTTATACAACTTTATTTCATATAAGTCAACATCTACTTTTAGGTTTAACATTGTGATAGGTGGTTTGATCGACAGACTCTAGAATCACATGGGAGATGAACCTCTGGACTTGTATTTGGGAAACTATTTGCTTACGTTAATTGAGGTGGGAAGCGCTGCTCACTGTGGGTGGCCTCATTCCCTAGCTGCTGATCCCTAACTTTGTATATGGAACGGGAGGCTAACATAGAACACCTGCACTCATGCATTGCTCTCTTCTTTCTTACTGTGGGTGGAGGGGGACTAGCTGCCCACAGCTGCTGCTGGGACTCCTCTATAAACTTGAGTTTCACACTTATGTCCTCTCTTCATAGTAATGCCACAGGAAAAGCCATAACTGGGCTGGAGAGATGGATCAATTGTCTTGCAAGTCTGAAGACATGAGTTCAGACCCACAGAGCCCACATAAAGCCATCTATGCACCTGAAATCCATACACTCCTGTGGAGAGACAGGAGGCAGAGGCAGAGAATCCTGGAAACTGTGGGGCCAACTAACCTGCCACATGCAGCTGTTATAAAGAGACCCTAACACAAGCAAATGGAGGTAAAAACCAAAATCCAGTGAACTTTGCATACATGCCATGTCATGGTAATCACACATGCAAATGCACTCGCACAAAAAGATTTTCTTTAAAACTAAGAAGGAAAGTGTGGGGTGGTAACTCAGTGGTATAATGCGCACATGCATGTGACCTCGGGTTAAAGCTCTAGCACGCCAGAAACAGGGTAAATGGTGATGTGGAAAGATGGCTCAGAGGTCAAGAATGCTGACTGCTCTTGCAGAGACCCGGGGTTCAGTCCCCACATAATGGAGCCCACTTAGTAGCACACAGTAGCCTATAACTCCTGTTCCAGGGAATCTGATATCCTCTCCAGACAGCCATTGGACCAGGAACACCTGGGGTTAATAGATACACATGCAAGACAAATATTCATACAATAAAATTAAAGAAAAGTGTACAAGATATATGTTTGAACAAAGAGTACAAGAGAGAGGGATGGAATAACCATACAGATCATAAAAGTCCTAATAATAACCGAAATTCTAAAAATCCTATTTAGTCAGAATCTTTGAGAAAATACTAAAGAAGCTCTCTAATTCTGTACCAGAACCAGTGAAGATGAAGGGATTTTCCTACTTTATATTCATAGGCTTTTGAATGTTGTGGTTACTAAATGACTGATTTACTCCATATCAATACCAAAAGCTATTTAATAAACTCTTTTGTAAAAAAAAAAACACATCAATTGTTACTTGATATTCCCAAGAACTTATAGTAGCTTTATAGTGACTGTTTATTACTATTATTGGTAATACTATACTATTTCTAATGTATTACTATTACTGGCTTATTATTTCATTTCACACTCCCTGGCATACATTTGGTCATCCTTGAAATAAAATGTAGATAAACAGTACATCTGTTAGTAAGACTGAAGGAGAGACACAAAAGAAAGAGAAAAATTATCTATGGAGAGGAACAGTTTTTTAAAATTTGGGCAGCTATATTCCTATAGACTACGTGGATTAAACAATGGGATTTTGTTCTCATACTTCCATTGACTGATTTATGAGTTTCAGGTGCCTCTGTGGCCAGAGCCCCAGTAAAAGCATTCTTCCTGGAAAGACCTCACATGGCCTCCTATGGTGCGTCTATCCAGAGAATGGTTCCCTTCTTGCTTCTTCCATGACCCTATTATTGTGCTTCATGTTCATGACCTAGTCTACATATAGATGCTTCCCAAAGCCTTTCCTCCTAGCATGAACCCACTGAGGGTATGGGCTACTAACATGTTTTCAGGGGTAAAACACTCAGTCTATAACAGTTATGCAAATTATGCTGGTGGTTCAGCTGTTTTCTTTTTTTAATATTCATTGAGCTCTACATTTTTCTCTGCTCCCATTCCTGGCTCTCCACTCCCTCCTTCAATCTTCCCCCAAGGTCCCCATGCTGCAAATTTACTCAGGTGATCTTGTCTTTTTAGACTTTCTACTTCTCATGTAGATTATATTTATGTAAGTCTCTCTTAATGTCTGCATTGTTGTCTAAATTCTCTACGATTATGGTTTGTAGGCTGGCTTTCTTTGCTTTATGTTTGAAAACTACCTATGAGTGAGTACATGTGATCATTTCTTTCTGTGTCTGGGTTACCTCACTCAAAATAATGTTCTCTAGTTCCATCCATTTTCCTGCAAAATTCAAGCTGTCATCATTTTTTCTACTGTGTAGTACTCCATTGTGTAAATGTACCACATTTATCTAATCCATTCTTCGATAGAGGGACATTTAGGTTGTGTCCAGGTTCTGTCTATGACAAACAAAGCTGCTCTGAGCATGGCTGAGCACATGTCCTTGTGGCACAATTGAGCATCTTTTGGGTATATACCCAAAAGTGGTTTTATTGGGTCTTAAGGTTGTTTCCTAATTTTCTGAGAAATCGCCACAATGACATCCAAAGATCACATAATCTATTAAAAAACAATGGAGTACAGATCTAAACAGAGAACTCTCAACAGAGGAATCTAAAATGACTGAAAAACACTTGAGGAAATGTTCAACATCCTTAGTCATCAGAGAAATGCAAATCAAAACAACTCTGAGATTCCATCTTACACCTGTAAGAATGGCCAAGATCAAAAACACTAATGACAACTTATGCTGAAGAGGTGTGGGGAAAAGGGAACACTCCTGCATTGCTGGTGGGAATGCAAGCTGGTACAACCCCTTTGGATGTCACCTGTTTTCTTAATAAAAACTTTGCCAGTCACCTAAACCAAATACTCCAAAATATTTTTATCATAAATTGAGATGCAGAGTTGCATAAATATGGCTAATGAAAAACACTAGACAAAACCTTCTCTACTTAAAATACAACCAAAGAACCAGCACATGAAGGTTGCTGAGAATATTTGAAGAATGCTGCAATACAGTGCACATGGAAGACAATTATGGAAAATGTAGGCTCTGAGTAGTCAGGTCGAAAAGGGAACAAAGTACCTTGAATAGAGCGCTCTTGATTCCAAGCCTGAGCTTATTTGAATGTGGCAAGTCCTCTTACAACTCAGAAACTGTACATAGTAGATCCTAGATTTTCCATAATTACACCACAGTCATAAATTTTTCTGAAAGGCAATACTGCAGCCATCAATGATTTTGAGCTCCACAAAGAGTTGTAATGGAATACACACTATTGCATTGGTCCCCATGGGTACATCTATTTACATAGCTCCCCTGTGTAAGCTATTGGTGTATGGTGTCATTTTAAGACCAAATCTAACCACTCTCCATTCCAACTTTCATGTTCAAAGGCCCCTTGAGTGGCTCCAACAGAGTACCACAAATTATATATACGTCTTTGGCTGTTAGAATGTCTTTACCCTGTGTGACTGGCTGCAGATCAGAGTCTCATAGTCATTAGTGATAGTCTGTAGAGACACCATTGGTATCCAAACAGAACCAAAGCCTATGCTGCCTCCTTCATAATACCCAATTTCTTCAGGGGAAAATATTTTCCAAATTAATTCTCCTACCCTATTGGTAAGACATGACACACCAGATACATAAAAGAGGATGAAGAAGTTTGGGAATGAAAGGCGAATTGATGCCACCAAGGAAACACAAAATCTTCTGTCAATAGACACTGCAAAGGAAGCTGAGGAAATGCGAGAAAAAGAAAAGAATAATTCTAAAGGAATTTCCTGAGGATAAAGAGAAGATAGAGCATCACTACATAAAATCATTAACACACTCATTGCATAAATACTGAGGAGGTCATAAAATAAGTAGGTATCTTTTTTTAAAGTGCTGTAGGGCTAGGGAAAGTTCATGGGTAAAGTATTTGCTCTACATGTATGAAGACCTGATCCCAAATGTATTTGTTGGCGTTCTCTAGAGGAACAGAAATGATGAGAGAGAGAGAGAGAGAGAGAGAGAGAGAGAGAGAGAGAGGGACGGGTGGGCGGGCGGGCGGGCGGACGGACGGTCGGACAGACAGACAGACAGACAGACAGATAGATGAATATACAGGTGGAGAGACAGATGCAGATATAGACACAGATTAGAGTGGCTTAAGATTGTTATCCAACTAGTTCAACAATGACTGTTTACCAATGGAAAGACCAAGAATCCAGTAGTTGTTCAGTCCATAAGGCTGGAAACCTTAGCTGGTTTTTGGTATAGGCTGGAATAATGAGGAACTAGGCTCTAATGCCAGTGAAGGAATGAACTTGCCAGTGAGAGTGAGAACAACTAGACAAAGGACAAGAACTTCCTTCTTCCATGTACTATATATAGGCTGTTAGCAGAAGGTGTGGTCCAGATTAAAGGTGGATCTTTCCACCTCAAGAGATCCAGATTTAGTGTGGGCCTTCCAACTTCAAATGGTTTAATTACAAAAGAAGTCTCACAGGTGGACCTCGATGGTCAGGTTTTAGTTTATTGAAGTTGTGGTCCAAGAATAGCCATCATACCAAATAAACCAAGAACAGCCATCATACCAAATAAACCAAGAATAGCCATCATACCAAATAAACCAAGAATAGCCATCATACCAAATAAACCCAGATGTGGGACTGCATTTTTGTAACCCAGTGCCACAGTAGTGGCAGAGACAAGAGAATGCCTGGAGTCTTGTGGGCCGGCCAGCCTTGCGTAACAACAAGAGACTGCCTCAAACAAGAAGGAAATCAAGAACAAGGGGCTGAGTTTGTCCTCTGACCTCCACACCTATGCTGTTGCACGTGGCCAAAGAAGAATGCACACCACACACATATATACACACAAACACACACATGGGGGAGGAGTATTAAAAAAAGCAAGACAAAATTATGCCACCAGAGATACAAATATCTTCTATTCTTCTTTTATTTATATGTTTAAAAATCAGAAATCTTGAATCGACATAAATCAACGAGTTAATTTAAAACTACAAGTTAGGTATCAGGGATAATATAGCAGATGACACATGTCCTAATATCTCCGTGAATGAAGAATCGGGGTATCAAGGATGTGCTGCATTCGGGAAAAGGAAGAACAAACAGAAGGGCATTAGGGATGAAGAAGCGGGTGCTGGGACCACGAAGAGCAAAGAGGAACAGAACCATGAAGCAGAGAAAAGTGCTGATGGTAAAACAGGAATTCTAGGGCCAAAAGGCATGGCCTAGAATAGTTATGAAGAAAGATAAAAGGGCTTGCAGGTGGGAATGAGATGGCCAAGGTGACCAGAAAGAAAAAAGACAAGGCTTTGACCATTTTGACAGGCTCTGGCAGGATCCTATGAAGTCATACACACTGAGAACATTAGCAAGGGATCACTGCCTACTCCCCAAATCTACCTTCAAATGCAGCTAACTGTAACAAACTAAATTTTGAATAAGAACAATTTCCAAAAAACCTTCACCTACTCCAGGAAGATCACCCACAGCCCACCCCACTGGCAAGGAGCTGTGTAGTGACTGAGGAAAACTGCAGCTCTGTCTTGGTAACAGTGATAAGGATTAACACTGCACAGACAGGGAAGGGAAATGGGCCCATGCTAAAACTCCAAGGTGGCCATGCTGCCCAAAAGCAAAAAGACACAGGCTCATGAATGACCGGCATCCTATGCAATGATCTGAGACCAGCAACACTTGGAAGCTTGATAAGTGACGTCACAATTCAGGCTAATGGCCAGCAGAGGAGCCAAGGTCAGATCAGGGAGCTTCAAATGTGTCCTCCCCTAACTGGACAAATGTCATATGGACACCACATTATCATATGTGTAGCATGTGACACATTCTAGTTTATTCAACCCAGGATAAGTCCAGAAAGTTAATCAATCCAATAGAAAATTACCCGAGTCTTCATCCAAAGTCCCTACCATGCAGTTATGTAAATTGTCCCCTCTTGGGTGTCCCTCCCACATGAGAGAGTAATCCTAACCTTTTTGGAAACCACTGCTTAGATAGATAAACAACAAAATCAAAGATGTCAATTCAGAACCCTGAAGAAAGTTGTGGGGAAAGGAGACCCTCCCTGGCCTCCACTTGTCCCTTGTTCTAAGGTTTAAATCTAGAGAAATGAAGACCTCTGGGAGCAAACTCTGCAAAACAAAAATTGAACTGAAGACAACCTCCTGTGGAGAGAGCCTTCTATGCCACTCTAAATGTTGGGCTAGTGCAAGGGAGGTGATGGCTACTGAGAGAATTGACAAAATGCCCTGCAGT